GAGGAACTTGAACGTGTATTCGATAAATTCCCTAAATACCACAAGGAGATTTCAATGCCAAAGCAGACAGGGAAGACATTTTTACACCAACAACTGGGAAGGAGAGTTTGCATGAAATTGGTAACGATACTGGAGTTAGAGTAATAAACTTTGCCACATCAAAAATCTTACTGCCAAAAGTACAATGTACCCGCATCATACCATTCATAAATTTACTTGGGGCATCTCCTGATGGAAAGACTCATAATCAAATTGACTATATTCTGATAATAGACGGCATTCAAGTGTACCTGATGTCCGATCGTTCTGGGCAGCAGATTGCGACAATGACCACTCTCTGGTGGTGGCAAAAGTAGGGGAGACTGGCAGTGAGTAAATAAATAAAGCATAGCCCCCAAGTATAATTAGGATGATCAAGTCATGAAGGATTAATGGGCAGAGCGGGTAACAAGAACTGGGGAGAAGAGGAATAAATTTAGGATATTGATGGGAAAACCAGAAGGAAAGAGACCACAAGACGTAGGTGGGTGGATAATATTAAAATGGATCTTAAAGAGATATGATAGGGTGGTATGGGCTGGATTGATATGGCTCAGCATAGGAACTACTGGAAGGTTCTTGTGAACACGGTAAAGAACTTTCGGGTTCCATAAAATGTTCGGAATTTCTTGAGTAGCTGCAGATTTGGCTTCTCCTCAAGAAGGGCTCAGCTGCATGTAGTTAGTTTCGTTATAGCGTGCAATGGCAGGGTGAATAGCGAACTGCAATGGATGGGGCTTAATTTCCGATACTAACCCGCCATTCATCTGGAGGAACAAATCACGAAATTTCTGCCTGATTATCCAGTTTTTCAGACCTTGACGTGAACGCAGGGCCTCTCGAATACAAAGCAAACTTGCTAAGCACTGGACAGCTATAAGTATCTTCGGTTTTACGCTTCTTCCATCAATCTGTTGCCAGACACCTGCAATCTGTGTCCCATCTGAGAGTAAACGACCACATTTCATAACTGAACAACACTGGCATATAACATTGTTCTAAGCTGTCTATAGGGTATATAATGAGCACTGGTGCCCAGCCAGACGTATTCGAACTGAATAATATAAGAACATTTCCTGAATTATTTCTTCCATCTCAGACACGCGGTAGCGTAGTTGGTTGAGGCACTATGCCACAAGTAGGAAGGTCGCGGGTTCGATTCCCGATGAAACCACTGTATTTTTTCAATTGACCTAATCCTTCCAGCCGCACTATGGCCTTGTGGTCGACTCAGCCTCAAACACAAATCAATGCCAATAATCTTCCTGGGGGTAAAGGACGGCCGGCGCGTAAGACTGACACCTCACAGACATCTGTGAGCCCATTGTTTTGAAAATATGGGTGACTCGACGCCTCGCAACCCTATAGGCCTCCACGGCCTGTTACAAGGGCAGCTTTACCTTCTTACCAAATTCCATCTGTTACTGCCGCTACGCTTTAAAATATTAATCGGGAAGGCACCTGTACCACAAGACGCAAATTCACTTTAAAATATGCATCGCGGTTATCTATTTCACCCACAAGACGAATATACGAATGTAATGACGTTGTGTGTTACGTCATGTTTGTTTAAGACACGGATTTCTCACACTTAATACTGCGACGGACAGAAGGACGCGCGGCTCAGGTACGGAATTATGTAAGTGTAGATTTCTGTTCTGCGCACAGGTCGGGCAAATATACCCCCACTCTGGCCCAGTTTTTAAAACGTTCTTAGTGCTAACATGTATTTTACAAGTTAACTGCATGCCACAATTGTTTTGGCGCAAGCATAAACACACAGACACATGCAGTCATACAAAAGTAAACAAATTACATAAGAGACTAGGAACAAGAAGTTAGAGAAGGCGACAATTAATCGATTTCGATTATGCTTTTACGTCTGTTTAGCGCCTTAACTCAGGTCCAAATATGGGCAGTATTTACAGAGGATATGTGGATTCTATCATAAGTGTTCTGCATAATGAAACTGATTTATAAAAATTGGATATTGGCACCAATCCCATATGAACAACGCCGTGTGCTCATGAATAATTGTATAATTAACAACACACGTCCTCCAAATGGAGTTTGAAACGTGCAGGCTGTGGCAGGTTGCTCAAAGCATTAAGATATCGAACCAGAAAAAACCGTGTAACGCGGTCAACAATGGAACTTCGGTTACTTAGTAGCGAAGGTCTCAATAAACGCGACAACAGAGCAACTACTGAAGGCACGGATCCCTAAGCAATGTATACAGAAACAGGTTTACGTTACAACGACTGCGTAAACATTGTTCTCACAGCAACGAAGGGACGTTTCCATGACAACAGAGAAATCAAATGTTCGACTCTGTGTCCTCCGTTGGGTACGCCAAGATCTACCTCAAGAGGTTTACTAGAAGATTACTGGAGATACAGGAGACAGAATGAAACAGGAGGAGGAGGAGGAGGAGGAGGAGGAGGAAGAGGAAGACGGAAGTCGGAAGTCTTTAGCTTATGTGGAGTTATCACTGTTCGAAGTTATGAAGTGTTACAGTAAGATTGTGTTACAACTAATTGTAGTTCCGCGTGGTAAATANGCTGGGTAAACATTGTTCTCACAGCAACGAAAGGACGTTTCCATGGCAACAGAGAAATCAAATGTTCGACTCTGTGTCCTCTATTGGGTACGCCAAGAACTACCTCAAGAGGATTACTAGAAGATTACTGGAGATACAGGAGACAGAATGCGACAAGAGGAGGAGGAAGAGGAAGTCGGAAGTCTTTAGCTTATGTGGAGTTATCACTGTTCGAAGTTATGAAGTGTTACAGTTACAGTAAGTTTGTGTTACAACTAATTGTAGTTCCGCGTGGTAAATATCCAATAAATCGATTCATCTAATCCGGAACCCATTATTAGCCACGTAACCAAGACGCGTGACAATATAGTTACAACACCTGGCAAATAATAACAAGACTACTTTGGATAAACTTTAGAGTCGCAAATCCTCTGCCGCATAGCTTCAAATCTATCCACAGAATCGTGAAATCTTTCCTAAGAGGCTTTAGCATGCGGAGTTCTTTCTTTAAAAGCCAAAATTCGCTGTAAAAATCGGGGCAGTTTTACTTGAATGTCGTTCTTTACCAATTAAAAACATGCCCAACTCGACTGTGTGTCTTCCCATCAATGTAAGCCCAAGTGCAGTTTAAATACTGTATGACTGTTGTAATCTTGACATTCGAATTTTTTGACGTGGCAAAATATATCAGGGTTTGTTCTAACCCCACTAGCAGCTCCACCCCAATCAAGAAAATTATAAACTAGTGTGCGTGTACAGAACGCCGATGAATTCCGTCCAGTTTCTATGTAGAAGATTTGCACTATGTTACAATATACTAGTATGAAGACATCGCGTCGTGCTTTTCGGTGTGGAGGCACATCGCCCGTAAGGCCGAGGGTACAGCAAGGAAACTGACAACCGCAACGCAACCGCAATTTCCGAGAACTGTTTTCAGCCTGAGTTGAACACATGTTACTGAATGGAGCAGGGTAAATTGAGGAAACGGAGTTGCGGTTGCCAGTTTCCTTGCTGTGCCCTTGCCTTAATAGGCGAGATTTTTAACACTTTCGGCGCCAAGAGATTTCAAGTTTACAACGAACTGTAAGAGTATGAGCCGTGAGCCATAAAACTGGCCCTAGCACTGCGACCTTCACTGATCTACACTAACTGCGAGTGAAGCATACAAAATCTAAACCAACAATTCAGGCTTTTAAGTACAAATTTTGAGTAAATAAATTGAAAAATTTACGTATACACGTATATCAGAACCAAATAAATTTAAGTCAGAAATGAAGGAGTTTATGTCAACAATAAAAATATTCGATAAACAATGACGAAATTGAAATAAAGAAGGAAGACATGTGATTACCGGTAAAAAAAATAATAAACATGTCAACAACGAAGATTTTTAAGTATGAAATGACGTACGTAATAAGCCATACTAACCTAAAATTCTTTCTCAAGGTTACTTGTCCAAATTCTAATACTGGTTGAATTATACGCTAGCCACATTTGACTTATTACAGAACTTGGAAAAGTTTCATGTGTAACTTTTAAATGCAGTAAGACTTTCCTATTACACATAAAATGGGACATTCTTCTGCTAATGTTACGGAGACTAAAACTATGCACGCGAGTCGCCATTTTACTTCTGTTTTTTTCATTTCATCAAAGTAGAAAGAAAATATGAATTATATCAGGCTCTTGTGAACACTGTGCTGAACCATGGAATTAATTACATATTACTCATATTATCATCGTTATCACTGCCATCTTGTAGCAGTACATGGTAAATATTTACAAAAACAAATAATATTATTCGTAACAGCGCACGCTGGAGCTCTGGTAAGCGCCTGGTTTTTACTTTGAGGGTCGACAGTTCGAATTACGGCTGGGAAACTGACTACTCCACATCGCCACTTCACTCTCAATTCTGCCCTACTTGACCACACATAATTGTCTTCACGTATCATTTTATAGTGCACTGGACTAACGCGATGAAACGGCGAATAAAATATAATTAACCACATAATGCATTACTAAACCAACGGCCCTGGGGACCTGGTCAGAAGACACGCCTGTCGTGTGAAATGTGACGCCGTGTGATCTGGGGGTAAGGACACAGCAATTCCGGAAGAAACTGATGCCTCAACCTTCACCTACTCTGAAAATGGAGGCAACAGGTTCCGCGAATTTCAGAAGAAAGCAATCTTCATAGTCACTGCAACAAAAACCTCAAATATCATAAGACTGTACCGATTAATTCTTTTTATAGTTTTCCTCAGTTTCTCCGAAGGTAATGCTGGAATTGATCACCACCACTGCCCAATTTAACCCTTTATATCGACTGTAACGTGCGTTTCGGCTCACTGGCGAATCAATGTACGATGCAATATCCGTCGGTAAAAACGTACAAGCCAAATTCGTTGTCACTGCCTACCTTCCAACCGGCAGAGCTGTTGCTGTCCCCTTTATCCTTGAAGTAGGGCACATTCTGGACCATCCACTCGTAAATTTGGGACAAGGTGAGGCGCTTTTCGGGCGCGGACTGGATGGCCTGCGTTATGAGATCAGCATAAGACAAGTTCCCCCATGCGTTGCGTCGGCTAGAGTTCTTCTTAGCAGCGGCCGGCAGTTGTAGAGCCCCCGGTAGGGTTCCCTCGGGGCCCATCACACCCCCACAGGGTAACACCACTCCGCCAGGGCATTTTATACCCGGCTCTTCCTTGATGTCCACAAAATTGTCTGGCCGCGGTAAAGGCCACGTGTTCGAGCGAGCCCGTTGCTGGGGCTCGAACCCTGCATCCAACTCCGAAAGCGGAGGCTCCATCATGGTTGCCTGAAGAAGTGAAGCCTAAACACCGAAAGAAGTGTCAGGAGATTCAAAGCAGCACGAGACAAACACGCCCCCTTTCACAGGTGTTTCACACATACCCAAGTTCACTTCACTTTATCACTTGAGCTGGTTCGGTCTAAATCATGTGATTTGGTGACGTAATAGCTGTATGATAAAACCGTATCGAGAAACTAATCCACAGTCGTTCGTTCTAATTACAGACTCTCAGTGTTAAGATCCTGTTATGAGGCACACAACACATCGCGAAATGTTGCGACGCAGTTAGCTGTGGCGCGACGTAACGGAACACTACAGGCTCGCTCCAACTCCAAGCACCTTCTGACTGTCTGGCTGCTTCGTAGTAACACGCAGCTAACGCGAGAGGAGGGGGAGGAGTTGGCCCCAGTGACGTCACTGCGTGAGTGTCCAGTGCACATGGTTCCGGAATTCCTGCGCAACATCGCATTTAATAGGTACATTATAGTTATTTAGTGGTGATATGGGGGCTTAAAGGAATAGGGTGAGGCGGTGTAGACTGGATTCATTTCGCTCTGTGGTGGGATATTGTGAACATGGTAATGAACCTTTGGGGTCCATAAAAGGTGGGAGTGATTAGTTTTTCTTGACTATTTGGACGAGGTCGCGCCTCCTCCACTCAGTCACTACCGCCTGATCCTGCATAGTGAATGTTGCTTACGGATTCTAATTGGAACAGGCCAACAGGGACAGCTAAAGATGCAGAATAAATAAATAAATAAATTAAGTGAGAACTTACGTACTCCCTGAGCGGCCTCCGTAGTCTAGAGGTAACGTTCCCACCTCATGACTCGTAGTACGCGGGTTCAAATACCCGGCGGAGGTCGTGGAATTTTTAAGGGCGGAAAAATTCAGGGAGCAAGTCCTCCGGGAGGGACTTTAAGCCGTGGGTCCCGTGTCGTAGCTTTACGGCACATAAAAAACCTCATATCTCCTAAGGAGATCACCGAGTCAAATTCAAGGACGTTTCCCGCCCAACAAGTAGTCTCTAACACCTCTGATAGATGGGGGAAGCATTATAGATACCGCCAAGCCAGTAGAGGCTGAACTCGCTGGCTCGGTCGGGACGTATGGTACACACTAATATCGGTAGGGTATAGAGACTGGTAGAATATCATAGAGGGAAGCACAATGGACCAATACAGGTCTAATTGCATGGGGAAACCCACCCTCTCCAATAACTAACTAACTAACTACGTACTCACTCAAGAATGCCGTCTTCTGGATTGTGGCGCAGTGTAGATATTGTGTAAACCGACGTTTCGGATGAACGTCGGTTTACACAATATCTACACGGCGCCACATCCCAGGAGACGGCATTCTTCATAGTCACCGCCATGAAAACCTCAAATCTTACATTACATAGTCACTGTCCCTATAGTGAAAATACAAACGAGGTCGTGAAACTCCGTGGTATTGCAACCTTCGCCTTCCAGCACAGTAATAATAAACCCCACAATTGGGCTGTGTGTTTTAGTTTCATCCAGTTCACGTTTTCACAGTCTACTATACCTCTGACATATCTTAAAGATGATTTTCCAAACTGCTTCATAATATTTCAACATAAATTGTCAGATCTTTGCTGCATTAAATTCGCATTTTTGTTTCCACGGAAATGTATACTCAACCGCCGATATAAAGGCAGTAGATGACGTCTCTTCAGCCGTTTATCCGAGATGTCACCACATCACTTTTGAGGCCAAGTTGCACTACGTCAATTTCTCGTTTACCAGTGACTTGTCACAACCTCTGTTAACCCTTGTATTTCTTTATACGGAACCTACTGCCCTAACTTCCGTCCAACGCCGAGGTTTAGAATACTACTCCCCCCATACGCCTCCATGGTGTGGTGCTTAGTTAATTCAGCATTTATCTTTAATATCATCACAATTTTTTTTTTGTGCATTACGAGCAACAGGGATACCTTAGTCGGTATAGCGACTGGCTACGGGCTGTACGACCGAGGTGTGGGAGTTCGAGTCCCGGTAGGGCCAAGAATTTTGTCTTCTCCACGTCGTCCAGACCAGACCTGGGGCCCACCCAGCCTCATATCCAATGTTACCAAGGGATATTTCCCCGGGGGTAAAGCGGCTGGTACGTGAAGCTGACTGCTCACCTCTAACTAGTGCCGAGGTTGAGAAAAATGTGGATCCATACATCCACTCCCCCATACGCCTTCATGGCTTAGAGCTTAATTAATTAAGCACAGGGACAATTTACCTTACCTTACCGTGTTCACAAGAGCCCTTAGCTGGTCCCTATCCTGAGCCACATGCATCTAGTTCATTCACTCCCATCATAGTTCTGTACGATCCATGTTAATATCATCCTGCCACTTACTTCTGGGTATCCTACTGATCTCTTTCCCATCAAACCCTGTATGAATTGCTATTCTCTCCCATGCCTTCTACCTTCCCTATCCATCTCATTTGATAAGTCTAATTATGTCTGACGAAGAGTAAAAGTTAGGAAGCTCCTCATTGTGCAGTTTTTTCTAGTTTCTTATTATTTCATCCCTCTTGGGTCCATATATTTTCCTCAGCACCCTGTTCTCAAAATACCTTCAGTCTAAACACTTCAATTAACGTCAGAGATCAAGTTTCACGCCCATACAAAAATACAGGCAAAATTATAATTTAGCATATTTTGATTTTTACGTTTTCAGACACAAGACAAGAGGTCACAAGCGTCATTAGACGCTCAACTGAAGGTCAGCAAGAAACAATCAGTAAATATGGGTTGCTGCAAGTGCTTGCTGCTGGAAACAAACTAAGAGAAGAGCCTATTTTCTTTTTCAGACCCTGAACATGCTAATTTCCTTCCTGACTGCAAACTTTCTAGCGGCGATATCCCTGTAAATGCAAGGGACCGACTACGCAGAAACATGTCCTCGGTTCGACTCTCAGTTTGCGCTCCGGAATACAAGTTGCGATTGTGATGATACGCAACTATTAGTCATGTTTTCAACATTTTCCGGCCCTTTTTTTCCCCCCTTGGCACTACAGCCCCAGTGGGCCTAGGCCTACCTCCATGAACTTCTCCGTTCACTTCGGTTTTCCTAGATCTTACACATTTAATAGGACTCCTTGGGCGGGTGATCAGCTCGTCTCAAGGTCTCTACCTGTACACAAACACAGAAAAACGCACACACAAACTAAACATCCATGCCCTGAGTGGGATTCGAACCCACGATCCCGGTTTCCAAGGGAGCGAAGACAGTACATGCCTTAGACCGCTCGGCTACTGTGACCGGCAGTGTATAAGAATAATATATAAGAATTCAGTTCGTACCTCACAGGAAACAGATCCGAACCCACGATCCCGGTTTCCAAGCGAGCGAAGACAGTGCATGCCTCAGACCGCTCGGCTACCGTGACCGGCTAAGAAACTGTCTTGCGCTTACTTACCCACGACTTGACGGCTTCTTGCATGGCCATGTGGCATTCTATGTAAATCAGATTACATCAGCTCCGTGGTAACAGGTATTATAAAGTACGCAGTTCCATAAATATTTAATTAAATGGTTTGCAATAGTGAAGACCTGGTCTTTCAGTGGTATGAAAATGTTAATACATGTTCACTGTATTTTGATAGTTCAATTTTTCACAGTATATTTAAAACAGATCCATTAAAGGATTTTAATGGGTATTATATCCATCAAATGACTATTCGCTTCTACACGATTTTGCGCTGCCTGTGTCTTGGTATTATCAAAAGGAGGTACTTATGAGATACATTCTTGAAGGTGCCCCAGTATGGTATGGTTTCCATAGCTAGTTTCATGACGATAGGTTCAGGCATTAATGTTAAGTTTGTAAGATAATTAACTCAACAATATGGGAGGCTGTAATGTTGGTGTCACTGATGGTAGGAATGCTGTTGAGATGGATTCACGTGGCATAATATAGATGCAGATTTTCATAAAGATCGGTTCAGGCGTTCATACATATAGACACGCACACAAAAATATAGCAAGGTGGTGGTAGCACAAGGCAATTTTTCTCGAAATCAGCAAAGTAGGCTTTAAACCCGTGTCTGTGGACTTTAGCCCCTATTAGAATCTGTTTCATTCTTTCGATATAGTGACGGAACTGTTGAGCTGTCTTCAACGTTGAATTTGAGGTTATCTTCATACATCAATGACGGACGATGGGCAGAGTCCAGAACCCCCGTAATCCCGAGTTTAAAATAAAATAACTTTATTACATTTAGAACTGTAATTGAGCCATTGTTTTGACTTCTTTATGCTACATCTGGAAAAAAACGCTGGCGTGCTCAGCGTATTTCTGTACCGATAACAAACAGGAGTGTCCCTTGACTTGCCGACAACTACGACAGCTACTGGGATCACAGAAGAGAGAATTCGGTTCTTGTATAATTATGTTAATTACTTCTGGCAAGACCTCTCCATGCGATACTAGACTTGAAGTACGTTATGAAGGGCTCGTTTAGGCAGGGGCTGGCCACTGTACATGGAATGGCTTTGAGAGCCAGCACGCTTTCATTTAATGAGTGATCAATGGGCAATTCTCCCCGTACGATAAAGATAACCGCTGTATGAAGCTCACAATAGGCCGCGCCATAGCTCAAGCGGTTAGTCGCTGGCTGCCCACGGCGGCGGTCCGGTTTCGATTCTGGGTCTGGTTAAGTGGGATTTGTGGTGGACAAAGTGGCGCTGGGGCAGGTTTTCTTCGAGTACTTCGGTTTCCTCTGCCAATTTTCATTCCACCGACTGCTCCACACTCATCACCTATCATCCGGGGCTAGTACAATAGGCTAGAAGTGGCCGCAGTACAAGGGACTTAGTCCCACCCTACAAAATAATAAGGCCCACAATTCACGTATATATGGTACTGGGATATAGCGCCGTGTAGTTTGGTAGGTAAATACCAGTGTTGCGGAAGGACCTGCTGCCTTCATCTACAGGGTATGTGTGAAGTAGATTATCCTACAAAATTGCACAGCGTCACATCTCAGAAGATTGTAATCTTAAAATGTTATGTGTTTACCTAGCCGCTGTCTGTCTATCCGTGTGTTCACCCATCTGTCTACAATCCGGGATTTGTGACTTCAGCATTTCTATCAAGTGATATAGAGAGTGATGTATAAGACTTTCGACTGAAATGTTACATTTTGAAATGGGGACGATTTGATCGCGTCATGATAAGAAAACTAGCACAAGCAACAGTACGAACACGGGTTTACACTCTTTGCAATTCCTTCAGGCCTTCTTCCTGTGATGTAAATACGACGTAGTAGCCTGTTCGTCAGGCACGCCCTGAACAGTCAGCAACAAGACACGCAAATTAAGTAGAACAAGTTCATTCACTTTCATACCT